ACAAAAAAGTCGACGCCTCTCACCTTTTTTTAGGCCATAGATAGGCCTAAATAAAATGTTTTTAATTGTGTACCAGTTTAACGTTGAATATTATTTATGATTTTACCTTTATATACAAGTGTCAAAATACTATAATTACTATTATGGTAATTACAAGAACATCACTTAATCTTTCAGCGGTTTATTTAGAAACATTATATCCACTGCTAGGATGAAACGCGAGTTACTGGTGATTGGCGTTTTGTATATATTAATTCTAAGAATGAAGTAAGGATTATATTATGTACCTCTTCGAATTAATTAAATAGTACACGAGATGTATATTGAAAAAAAAATCAGCTGTTGGAATAAAATAACATCTTCATTTGGTTGTTTTTTATCAATTATTAGCTGTTTAAATAAATTAATCGAGTTTTATCATATATTAGTGGCCGTCTCAACAAAATTTTGAGGCCCTCTGCAAGGTATTCAATTTAAATGTAGGCGAAAGTGGGAAATTTATCATATCTACATAGATATATAAGATTTGTTTCATTTAGACGTTTTTTTATGTAATGATTAAATTGTGATGACTTACTTTTTAATCACTTGTTACAAATACTTTCAAATACTTTTACAACTCTTCTCAACAAATGAGAAAGTCACCGGAGTTATAAATAGCACTGTGACAGCAATGCGTTTTATAAGACATACCTCGTGTAAACTGATTTTCTCGTAAGATTCTATTTTTTTTTTATAATGCCAAAAACGAAACTTTCACCAATTAGCTGCATTTTCTTGTCGCTAAACAATTTACAGGAAAGACAAAACACTGCCTCTAGTTATAAAGAATTACAACAACCATGGAAGTGGTATTTTGTTACACGTTTCTCATTTTTCGAAAAGTCACCGTTTTCCAGACTGGTTCTTGTTAGATGGAAAAATAACGCCTCTAATTCTACGGATTTGTGTTTTTATTGTAGTTGTTCTTGATGTTTGTGTGTGTGTGCGTTTGTTTTTTTTTTTTTTTGCTTGTATCTTGTTATTATCTTCAAGTTTATTTTATTTTATTTTTTAACTTTAATTAGAAATGAATATCTAATAACTGTTAATTGAAAATATTTTTCAGAACAGATCTTTTAAAAGAAGAAAGCGTTTGGTATCTTGCGTGCGTTTGTATCATGTATCACTTTGACGCATTATTTCACGTTCAAAACTATTAACTATTAAATACCTCTTGTTAACTATAAGTTGACTAAAAACATCATTCTTTGAAACTGTAAATGTGATACATGTAGTTAAGTAATTTATCCATGACAGTTTGTAGATTTTGTTATTTTTATTAACTTTGCGTGTTACTTTCTTAGCATATATTTATCAAATGTTGGCAAAAGGCCATATGAAATTTATAACAATTTTAGTATCTTATCCATCATCACAGATAGTAATCGTGACAATAATTGAAAACTGCAAAGTCAAATGTGTATACATATTGAAATAATAGTGACATAAAGTAATGAAATTTTGACAAATTAATCGCTGATTACTCAGATTTAAACTACTTTGTTTAGCTATATGAATCACAGTGCCAACCAAAGTAGGTATTGAAATTCGTTTTAATATCCATCCAACTAGTATCACTTTATCTGTTTGTGTACTTTTTGTTGCAGCATTAATTTTGTTTTGTATACTTCTTATAGCAATTCTACGAATAACCAACGATCCCTATTTTCCGTTAATTTTTTTTCCTATTTACTTGTTCAGTTTTTATATATCCATGGAACGGACACAACATCTGTAAACTATTCCTGATAACTATAACTTTTACAAGAATTAAAATCACGATCACAAATTTATAAAATGTAGTCATTACTTTGGCCTACAGATAAGTGTATAAAACTACCAAAGTAGGGATTATAATTTATAACTTTGTGATTGTGGTTTTAATTCATATTTTATTACTTTTTGTAGCAGGATCCCTACTTCATTCTAAAACTCATAATTTTCAAATACCCTTGTTTGTTTAAGTCTTTATGTTATACCTGTATAAAGTATATACTTTACCTTTAGAAACTGTCATGTGTCTATCTATCGATATGTAACACCATCTGTTGGGTTGAATTGGGTTTAAAAGTAAGTGCATGATATGATTATCATTTATAAAACTCTGTATATATTTATCGGAATATCAAAAGCGGATATCCACAGACCAGTCAAGTAATCTTGAGAAATCTTGTAGTGATAGTCCAAGCTGTCTAGATGACTTCATCAGGTAGGTAGGTAGCTAAGGTAGTAGACGAAAAAGTTATTGTTTTAGAAAATTTTGAATTTTAATACTGGAAATATTATTAGGGGATATATATGTGCGTATAGTATATTGTAACTAATACTTTGGATGGTCGGTTTTTCGCTTAGGAATTCAATAAGGTGGTTTTTCGGCGAATGAATTATTTGAAAACCTTGTCAATCCCTATTATTAAGTATTGCCGTACTTTTTTACATATGTACAAGGTTATTTGCTAAGCAATAACGAAATATTGAATGATTTCTTTTCAGCTCTGTTTATCTGGTCTTCTGTCATGAAATTAATTGTCAAAACAAATCATAGATGACGCGTATCAGCCACATTCTCAATTTAATATTGATATATATATATATATATTTCTTTTGTTTTATTGTTGTTGTTTACTGTTATTCCGTCAATATTTCAGATAAGTGTCTAGGAAGAATTATCCTAGGATCCTACATGTTTGGCAGAGCCAAAACTGAGGAACATTGGAATGAAGAAGTGTCGGAAAAATACCATCAGGTTCGTTACTGGCACAAACTGACGTAATACCTAGAGAATATTGAGAGGCCAATCGCGTTCGAAGCATGCCTTTGCTGATTGTTTTACCCCTAACCAAGGAGTTTATAAACTCGTCGTCCTGTAATGTTCCTAATCACGTGTGATTCCCGTAGGTGAATATATAGCATAAAAGAAAAAAAAGACTTAAAGGAAAATTAAAAAAAAACATATCACAACTGAAAATAATGTAATGCGCAACATCTGCAGTCAAGCATAAAGATGAACACATCTAACTAAAAATATTGTTTCGTTCGAAGTAGATTTTTGTCGCGTAAGTCTGGTAACCGGAAAATATTTCCTAGATACAACTTAAACATAGCGTTGAAAGGTATACAAAGCACTTGAAATTAACAAGCATAAGTAATATCGTATTCAATTATGTTTTGTTTCTTAGGTAGTTTGTGTAGTATTTATTTTATAGAAGCAACGACATACTAAATAGAGCAATTGTTTCTGACAAAAATAAACATATAGGCCTTTTTGTAATTAAAATATACATTATAGTTAACTATATCGGTCTAAGAAGTGAATTTAAAACATTACATCGGACTACAGATGTTTTCTCGCAATTCCCTTAGTTAGTCCAATGAACATCTTTAAACTACAAGTGTGAAAACATACATTTAAGATTTTTTTGTCTACCATATCTCACAGTAGGAGGCCTTTTTCTCATAATTAGATCACGCCATCTAGGCTGGAGACGTGTAACTGCCAAAAATCCATCTATATTATTATTATTTGTAAATAGTGCTAACAACTCCAAGTTATGGCATTAAACCTGAAAACTTTAAAGTCTGTTCTGATATTTAGCGAAATTCTTTCTGTCAGTAACCTGTGAAAGGCAAATTAACTTAAATACTAATTTCACATACATTTCACGCTTCGCCAGATTAGATGTTTGACATCTCATGTTCTACTTACATTTTTCTAAAGGTCCAGAAATCACGACAAATGCTTGTTACTTTATATTTCTTTTTACTCGCACATTCTTCGTAAAATTAAGATCCGCGTTTCACCAATTTACTAACTTTCGTTGTAGATGTTTTCTTGTTAAACAGTCATCTTATGTCTGCATAGCGGACACTTGATTATATTTTGTGATATGGTTATCATACCTCTATGTGCGTCCGTTTATTATACAGGGTCCATTTTCTGCTGTTCGTGAATTAAGCGTTTGACTTACAGAAAAACCTTTGCTTTCAAGTAAAATTAGTTTATTATATACTGCTTGCCAACTATAGTTATTACCTTTGTCATATTCTCTAGAAAGCTTTTAACTAAAAACTGATTTTTTTTTTTTTTTTGTCAAAAGGAGTTAAAATGATATATTTATATATTTTATCACTTATTGTTGGTTCCAACTGAATCTATATTTCTGGATACTTTTCCGAGTTATTGATATTACAAACTAATATAATGTGCTACTCCATTTCAGTTGTTAAAAACGAAGTAAATGACTTGTATGTTGAGATACCACTAGAAATAAATTGTTTTAATTGGTCATTAGAGTGCAGTTGTATGAATATTCCGGTTTATATTCTGAAGGGGAAAGAAGACCAAGAAGCATATAGATCTTTAAATTGGTACTTTCATTCCATAGTCAGACAAATGTTTTTAACGAATTTTCCACAACTTGTAATAAACAGAAATTTCCGAGTTGCTAATCGCATTTTGTCCGTATACGAATAAAAATAAAGATTTTGTTCTATTTAAAGTATCCCCCGGTGAGTCAACGGTAAGATTACGAAGTTTCAACGCTTTAATCGGGTGTTCGATTCCCCGCTGTAGATTGGTGCAGATAGCACCTTGTATATCTTTGAGATAAAACAAATAATTTCTACCCTATTTTACATTTAAAACATTTTTAGGATGTTATCTTTAACAAAGAATATTTATTAGGTAGCGTTAACTAAACGAAGTGGCAAATGTCTTTTGCTTCAGAAAAAAAATCAAAGCCTATTTTGAATTTAAAAGTATGGAATACAAAGTGAATGAAAATTCAAACATATCCACTAACAGATATAATTATAGAAACACATAATGGACATACAAACAAGAGTCACACAGAGAATATGGGCAACTAAATGGGTAATTTATTAATGGTACAAAACATTATCACAGAAAATGTAAAATAAAAGCAAATACGTTGTACAGTGAACCAGTTAGTTTGTATTTGAGCCCTTTCCTTTACACAGCGTATTAAATTTTGTTTCCATACTGCCGTACAGTTTATAAATGTACGATTGTGGAATATACTTCCAAATGTTTCATATAACTCCTTACAATTAAGCCAAGTTGCGTCGTCGCCTTTTAATTTTCTCAACTTTTAGATAAGCCCATACATCCTTAAGCATCTTCATATAGAGAATTTTTGAGTGTCCCATCGGTCTCCTTGCCGCCAGGTTATAGTTTCACCACATTTGCTGTATGCTTGGAATCGTTGTCCTGCTGGAAGACGAATCCCCACCGAATAAGCCATGTTCTCCTCAGTAGTCAGGGTGTCATCAATTTTGTGTAGATCACCAACATCGTTGGCTGAGATGCATCTACTGATTTCTAACAATTCCTCACCATGTGCTTCTCTGTAGATACACATTAACTGTGATGCTATCTTTCTCTCCACCGTCACGAAAAGAAGAAGAAAAAAGAACTTGTTGATTGTTCTCGAACATTTCGAATTTCGGTTCATCTGTAAAGAACGCATGTCTTCAGCCTTGTTCATTCCACAGTTTGTTTTCCTATTATCAGCAGAGGTTTTCTAGCAGCTACAAGTTCACTGATAACACTTTGTACTGATGTGTACTTTGCTGTTTTTGAGGTAACGTTCACACCTACATTTACAACCAGAGTTCATAAGATATGCACTCGACAGTCTTCTATCTCGTAAAGAACATTTGTTTTTTGTTTTTTTTTAATTTCGCGCAAAGCTACACGAGAGCTATCTACGCTAGCCGTCCCTAATTTAGCAGTATAAGACTAGAGGGAAAGCAGCTAGTCATCACCACCCACTGCCATCTCTTAGGCTACTCTTTTACCAATGAATAGTGGGATTGACCGTCACATTATAACGCCCCCACGGCTGAAAGGGCGAGCATGTTTGGTGTGACGGAGAACCGAATCTGCGACCCTAAGATTGCGAGTCGAGTGCCTTAAGCACCTGGCCATGCCGGGCCTCATAAAGAACATACTCTAAGATACTAAACATCAGTTTCTACTCGATTGTCAAGCGGTATTTCAGTCCCGCGAGCCATGTTTAAAATCACACTACTACTAACAGGTATAGTATGTAGTTTTATAGATTTATACTGGTATACCATTTTAAGTTTGAGTGGATTACAATATTTCACAAACTATAAACACCACTGTACTCATACATAGTATGTACCTTTAATACCTTTTCTTCCTTACCATTTTCATAATAATTTCCACATTGCATATTAAAGAAATTATAGGGGAAATAAATCATTACAAACATTTTAAATGGTTTAGAGGATAAGCATCAATATACAATACACAAATAATTACATAACACTAAGTGTTGATAAAATTATTTAACGGATCTTTAAGGTTAAAATTGTAAACTTTCATGACTTTTCAGAAGTAATTTTACATACAAAGAACAAAAGTCTATCTTCTGAAATAATTGTATAAATATCTTACTTATTTGAACGTTGTTTTGTTTTGGAAAGTCTAAAGGTATTCAGTTTAGGAAATTTTACTCTTTTTTTGTCATTTCAATGCTCTTGGGTTTATCCTAAATTATGACTAAATTGACAGTTAAATTTGTTCTCAAAACTGTACAAAAAATGTAAATTTGACAGAACAGTTCAAGAATAATCAGCGAAGTTTTATTTCACAAAAACAACAATATGAAAGTTGTTTAAAACCTATTCCAGTAAACTGTCTGAACATATAAAAACAAAATCAACTAAAAAAAATCAAAAGAATAATTTAATTGTACATTTTGATAGACTGTCTTTAAGTAGAGGTTACAGATTTGGATATATTAAATTTCCTAAAAAATGCCAGTTTCTCCTCATCTATCCAGTAGCGACCTCTTATTTTCAGGCTCATTTTCTCTATATTTCTTTAATATCCTTTTTATAATCTAAAAACCACTACACCAACATAAACACCTCCTGCTGTTTTTACCTTTTTTTCATTAAAAATTTTAAAAACCACATTTCTGGATGATATAATCTCTATATAAATATACTCCTAATGTGAGATATATATTTAACTGACTTTAAGTAACAAAATATAAACCATGACCAGCTGTGAACTACAGTTTGTACCTACAGCATCCTGACTATGTCAATGGTAAGTCTAAAAATAAATATTTTTTACATGAAAATTTTTTCTCAGGATTTCCCAAAACAACAGTTTTGGAGAAATTCTCATGAGGGCATTGAACACTATTTTTTAATTTTAATACTAGCAAAAAAAAGTTTTAAATAAAGTAATAATTTAAAACAAATTTTAGGCTCTCTTGAAATGATCTAAAATGGCACTAGTACTTACAAAGTCAATAAAAGGTTAAAACTTTCTTGCAAGTAAAAACTCTCACTATAAAAATAACATTTTGTTACAGTTTAAATCACCTGCATCACACAAATTTGTGAAGCCTGTAAAATTAATAGTAGTAGTCCAATGTTTTAGCTTGTTGTAACTATTGTCACATTCCTTACAGCAGGCAAGGCTGTAATACGAGTAGTGTGAGCAGTGCATTCTCAATAACTATTGTTACATTCCTTACAGCAGGCAAGGCTGTAATACCAGTAGTGTGAGCAGTGCATTCTCACAGAGGGCTGACCCACAGAAGGTGTAAATTAATATCTTTAAAGGCAAAGATAGATTAGATTTTATTGAGGAGGGGCACAGAATTTATATCTCACACAGGGTGCTGTCAAAGATCAGTACAGCCCTGACAGCATGTAAAAAAAAAAATTTCATATTTACTCCAGTTTTTTCATCTACCATATATCACAAAAAATAAATGCTAAAACAATGTACTTGCCAAGAAAATATAAATACTAACAAAATAAGCAAACAAAATTCTGACATCAAAAACAAAACAATGTGCCTGCTCAATAAAAACTAAAATTATTAGTAATAAATAACCAATAATAAAGTACCATTAAATAACCAATAATAAAGTACCATTAAATAACCAATAATAAAGTACCATTTTGTTTCAAAATTTCTTGAATAATTCTTAATATTTATAATCCCTTTGCAAAATAAATAATTTCTTCTTCAATCACAAAGTGCTAAATGTTATTAGTCTCTATAGAATACAAAACAATAAAACTGTTAGGTTTAAAAACAAACTTCACTATTAATTCTATAGCCAGGTTTGTTTTTTGCAAAATTTCATTTTTTACTTATAAAAACAGCATTAATATCATATAACAACAACATTGAATAATAACGTATCTGAGTATTTATCACTATGAACTTTCTTGAAAGGTCAAATATTTTACTTCTACCATATCAATTTAAAATCTGAACCAAACTAAAAACTGCAGAAAACTACAAGTGTGATGAGTTTAATTAACTTGAACAATTTAAGTTTAGATGAAAAAATGTGGTTAGAAATCAAGTGATATTATCTTCAGTTTGATGGATAACAATTCTAAATGACAAATTAACAGTAATGTAGTTATTGAAATGAACCTATAATCAAAAATATTATACACAATGTTTCTGCTTAACCAATTACAAGTAACGTAGTTAATGAATCTACCTGTCATCTACAGTAGTGTGGATAATGCATTTACTTAATAAATTAAAACTAATACAGTTAATAACTGTGCAAAATCATCTACATTCGTACGATTGAATACATTCTGTAACAGATAATTTGAAAAAATAATTATACCAGCTTTGTTAGATGAGCAAAACCAAATTGTTGATTAAGAAACATACAGGGAATTTT